TTTCCGAAACACTACTCTGTTGATAAATTGCAGCACTTTGAAGTAGCACCAAAGTGTTAAGATCTCTCCAGCTGTCACCTGGAGACTGGCAACAGCTTGTCTGGAGTGTGGGCAGTATGGCATTGTATCTGTCTGAGGTCCCCCTCTTCCTCCTCCTCCTCAGAACCCACCCTCAGCAGGCTTCATCCCTAAAATATCCTGGAAGTTTCCAACCTGGAGTTGGCAACCCCATGTCCTTTCCTGGCAACCATCAGCCAACCTGCCTTCTTAAGTTTTACAACCCCCCCCCCACAGCCTCTGCCTAGGGAGCAGCTGACATCATTCTCCTCTCCCCTATTATGCAACTGAAAATTCCAACTGCCTTGCGGGGGGGGGGTGAGTTTGAGGTGTGGAATGGAGTGACGTCCAATCAGCTTCCATATGCAAATGACCTTGGAACGCTGGGCGGGACTGCACAAAGCAGCTAGTCAACTCAGCCAGTGTGTTCTGAGTGGCAGTTTTTCCAGCCTAACACTAAAGGAGTGCATTTTGGAATGTTGCGAAATAGAATGTTCACTACTCAATTATATATAAGGAGAGATTAACAGGGAGAAAAAACCCCAAACCCCAGACTTGAAACAAACTTTCTCTTGGTGCACACTGCTACTTAAGACATGAAAAGGCTTTATCCTTTGGCTATTAAAGGCTACTAACGGTACTATTAAATACTTTTATAAGAGAGTCCCCTCCTCCCCAAAAAACAATGTGGTAAGCACAGCTAAAGTGTAGCACAGGTCAGTGAAGAATGAAAGCACAGGTTGATATAAAAATCACTCCAAAAATCAAATCAGAAATGTGACATTAAACTTGTTAAAAACAAAAAACTTCTAAAAATCTGAGAAGATAAAAATAAAAATAGAGCTATTTCCACACTTGCCTGGTGCCAGATATATCCTCAAGTAAGGTTCAGAGCTAATTTACAAAGGGTTCTGCATTCAGACCTTTCAGATCATGGTATAAAGCCATGGTTTTTTTCAACTTGAAACACAAGTTCAGCTATGCTGGCAGGCTGGCTTTCTAGAATGCAACAAGCATACCTAGTAACCAACTTACTCATTGTTCTACCATAACCCTAGTTGTTGCCTGCAAGAGAGGCAAATTTATGTTTCAGATAGATTGAACTCCTTTATTATGGTAGGTTAATAATAAGAGAACGTTCAAATAATTAAGGGGGATAAGAAGCCACGCGCCAAAGACGAGACCTGCCGGAAGAAGCTGCTCGGGGAAGATCGGCTCCAGAAAGGGCAGCAGGACGCCAATATCTGAAGCTGCAGAAGGAAGCCGGATGACAACTAGCCCGGGGTGCTGGTAGGCAGTCACCACCCTGTAGACAATGTGGCCCTGGTCAGGTTAATTGGTTGGTTAGAACCACTATGTAAACCGCCCAGAGACCCTTCGGGGTCAGGGCGGTATATAAGCCGAAGGTATAAATAAAAATAAATTTTAAAAAGCCAATCACAGATAGTAAGACTAACAAATATCTCTGAATAATGGAAATATCAGTCTGATGGGCTACAGCAGGGGTCCCCAATGACACCTCTCCTTGCACCCGCCAAGTGTTTTTGGAAAGTATGTGGTGCTGGGGGGGCTCCTGCCCAGCACAACTTCTGACTGGCCACACAGCTACTGCTATGGTATTTGGTTTTATTATCTTATTGATCTTTCCCAGTGTATTTTATAAAATTACGTCTCTTGTCCTCTGCCCTTGGGCTTTCTTTGCGTGGTGCCGCCTATCATGGTGCCCATTTTGTGGTTGGCTCTACCTCCTGCAGCAGCCCTTTCCCATTAATCCAGACTAAGTTTTCCACTTGTGCGAGGCACTTTTGTTAGAGGAACAGAATGTTTCTACCCGCCACTGCAGCCCAATGACTCTCCCAAAATGCTGCACCAAGGAAGAGAGAGAAAAGGCTTAGTGTGGAGGCTAATTTTAAAATGAGGGTTTGAAACAACATGACCAAACTTTTAATGGCAATGTAGGACAGTAATATAAAATACAGCACATATTTTGTATTTAAAGTTAAGTTTTTGACATTGCCACCAAGTTAAAATGCCAGAGAGCACAACCTTCTTTGTCACTGCCCCGGAACCAGGTAAAAATTTTCTTCTTTCAACAGGCTTTAATTAATGCCCTGGTCTTTAATTGTAGTTCTTCTCTTCCTGCTGGTTTTTTTTTTTTTTTTGCTTGATCCTAGTTTTCATTTTATTGTATTATTGTTGTTTGCTGTTTTGGAACACTTTTAAAAGCACTACATAGATGTTTGTAAATATATAAAACAGATACTAATAATATATAAATGCTGCTCAGTGAAAGGCTTTTATTTCATACAACTTAATCTCACCCTACGGACTTCAATAAAGTCTTACCAACTTCCTCCTTGAGATCTATTTCACCAGTAGTTGGGTGCACAATGCCTTCTACTTTCATAGAACCAATATGGCTGATGTCACTCTGTGTCAGAGATAGCTACAAGAACCAATGGAGGAAGAGAAAGAATTTATGAATACATAAAACGACTGCCAAATAAGACTGACACTCCATCTAGCTCAGCATCTTGTTTTCAAAAATGGCTACCTGATGTCCATGGAAAGCCTACATGCAGGGCACAAAGGCAACAGCACTCCATAACAGTATATCCCCAGCATCTGGAACTATTTAGTTTTTTATAAACAGCCACCATTCATACATTATTTTCCATGAACATCTAACTCCTTTAAAATGTTCCTTTAAGTCTGTAACCATCACTTCATCTTGTAACTGTGAATTCTGCTAGTTTTGTGCTATGTCCATTTTATTGAGTGATAACCTAAAGTTTAGTATTAAGATAGGGAGAACACTGTTTCATGTCCACTTTCTATACTCTATTCATGATTTTACAAGCCTTGACCAGGTCTCCACTCAGTTATCTTTTTGTCTAAACTGAAAATACTCTCAGGCTGCGGTCGCACACGCTAAATAATCCACTTTCAGTGAACTGGCAAAATTCATTTGGAAAGTGCATTGGAAGTGGGTTGAAAGTGGATTATTTAGTGTGTGTGACTGCAGCCTCATACATTTCTCACAGAGAAAGTGTGCTAACCCTCAATAATTTTAGTTGTTCTTTTTGTACCTTTTCGGCTACTGCCATACGTGATACAGAATGATATAAATGCATTATGGTATCACCAATTTCATTTTCAATCCTTTCGTAACAGTTCTGAATCTCACATTTGTGTTTTTCCCTGCTGGTGTACATGGTGTTATATTTTTTAATAATCAGTCCACCACATCTGGATATCCCTATCTTGAGTAGTCATCATAACCAATTCAGAGCCCATCAGTATATATATGAAGTTAGGATTCTTTTTTATCCCTACACACTTTACAGCCACTTACTTTTTCAGTATATTTTTGGAATTATCCTCATATTAACCCATTAAACCAGATAAACTTTGCTTGCCTTCTATGGCTGCTAAATTTCTTTTTCTAAAAAGCCCTAACTGCTTTCAGCTTCCTCAAGCATCATTCAGTTTTACAAGTCTTCACCTTTCTGCTATAATAAAATTAGAACACAACAACAGGAGATTTCGAGATTACTTTTGTCAATGTTGTTGTAGTCTAAGAGTTTTGGGACCAGTGTTCCCTCTAAGCTGAGTTAGTGTGAGGTTGCTTACAGTTTTTTAGCGTCCGGCTCACACATTTTTGTCTTATCTCAGGAAGGATGGCTCCAGAGCAAACTAATTCATGCAGTAGCCAAATCAGTCACTCACAACTTGAATGCCAGTAGCTCACAAAGTAGAATTTTTTCTCACAAGACTTCACAGCTTAGAGGGAACATTGTTTGGGACCTAAGCCTAGTTCATGAAACACTTTCTCACACAGACCTTTGTTTTTGCATATACAGGAAAAACAGCGATCCGACCAGACCTCTCGAAGAAAGGGTCTGCTCAGCGCGGCGGTAAGGAAAGAACTGGCGGGATGTCCGCGCCCGCCCCTCTGGGCATGCGCACTGGGGCTCCTGCACATGCACAGAGGGACTGGGCACGAAAATCCTTTTTAAAGAGCTTGCTACAGCACCAGCAGATCCAGCGCAGGCGCACTAGATCCCATTGGTGTGAAGCACAGAGACCATGAAGAAGATCAATCATTCTAAAATACTTGTTGAGTAAGTTACTAAATAATAAACAATCTCTGTGACCCTAGCTATTGTTGAGAAGATAAAAATGCTTTAACATACAAAGCATTCTAAACTGAGATGATGAACATTTCTGCTGACTTGTCAGGACATTAAAATGTTATTGTATCCTCTTCTCTTCTCTGACTTACTACCTTCTGTCCTGGAACAAGGCTCTTGGAGGAAAGTATGGTAAACCCATCTCCAGGTCCATCATCAGTTGCTGAATTTGATGCTCCTTCTTTTTCACTGTCCTTCTGTTTGTTCTAATGGAAAACAAAAGCATTTAGAAAAGCTAATTATAATAGCTTTTTAATAGATCAAAGATATTGTTTATAAATTCTTTAAATGTGTACACAAATACTATCTTATCATAATATAGCTATCACTGACCATATTTTCTGTAGCTGAGGAATGTTCTGTAAGCACCCCATGAGGGCTACATTCAATGCCAATTCATTTTTTTTTTGTTTTAAGAAGGAAGATCCTCATGCAGTGACTTCAGTTTGTTTTCATTTTTGGAAGCTGTTTTGTATAAAATAACAGTTGTGTGGAAATTGAACAGGAAACAAAAACCTCTTCACAGATAGTGTTTCCTTTGATGGAGTAACTTCTTAACTTTCCACATCAGGACTATTTGATATAATGGTATTAACAGGTGAAAATAAAGCATTAAAGTCACTGTGTGAACATTTTACCACCCACAACAAATGTGTGATTCAGTTCCCAGACAGACACTACAAAGATTAATGCTTTGCTTGAACATTTCTGCTTGCAGGGCATGGTGGAGACTGTATATGCAGTAATGTACCTCAGGTGCACCTAAAGTCACTCCTGTGATGAAAATGGTAATGTTTTCTCTATTTTTCAACTTGTGCTTTGGAAATGTGAAAATGGCTGCATATAAAGATATACACCTTTATAATACAGAAATAACCACATGAAATCGGAGCAGGGATCCCCAACCTTTTTGGCCCTGTGGGCACCTTTGGAATTCCGACACAGGGTGGTGGTTGCAACCAGAAAATGTAAAGGATTAAGGTTATGCATAACTATTATTTATTTATTTGATTTGATTTGTATCCCACCTTCCCTGCCAAGGCATGCTCAGGGTGGATTACATAACATATATTGAACAACTGAAACACAAAATTCAATAAAACCACAACAAAATGATTATAAAACATAGCATAAAGTGCTAGTGCAAATTCGTAACCAGTGGCGGGCATTAGCGCTTTTCAACATTAACCCATAATCAGCTAACATTATAGTCTGGACAGGCTGTTAATAGTGATGTTAAAACTGATGTTGGTATTGGGGCCAGGGCAGAAGTTCTGTTTAACAGGATATCCTTTTAAATGAACACATGGTTTAAAAATATTTTCTTGCTTACAGACAGCTACCTTCACTCATGCAGTGAAGATCCTTTGGCTATGATGGCAGCTGCCGCCAAAGCATTGTTTGTTTGTTTGTTTTTAAATGTACACTATCAACCAGAAGCCCTGCTGGGCAAAAGCCCACCTGCCTCTTCCCACTTTCTAAAAACGCTTGGCAGGCACTGGGAAAGGTGCTGGCAGAAGCCATGATACCCACAGGCACCACACTGGGGACCCCTGGCTAGAGATGAAAAATTACTGGGAAATTTGAAGGGGGGGGGGGGGGGGTCTGGTGAGAAAATACCCCCTCACATTTTGGGAAAAACAGAAACATATGCAATACTTATTATCCTATCAAACCTAAACTAATTTTACTGTTTTAATAACATAAAATGCATCATTTAGAACTTACTTAACATATAAAATTGCACTATCTGAAATATTTATGGAATTAAAAAATTATAAATGCCTCAGTTTTGTATAAGCAAAACTGCAGATATACTCAGCAAGTGGGACCTGCAAGAAACTTGTGAGAGCAGCTATCCCATTCCCCCGACCTCTGCTTCTTCCCCTCTCCCCCTACTTCTCTCACCCTCTTTCTCTTCCTGCCACCCCTTCTCTCTCTCTCTCTCTCCCCCCTCCATGCCTG